ACCCTGGAATCTGCTCCATGCCACAGGTAGGGAAGAGGTGCTTGTAGGCACAACCTGGGTGCAGCACTTAGGTCGGGGCAAGGGAAGGCCCATCTGGGGAAAGGCAGAGCTTGAGGATTGGCGGGGAAACTGAGGCAGGGTCTGTGGCTAGGTCTTGCCGCTGAGGCCTGCTGCAGCCACTCACAGGAAGGAGCACTAGGAAGCAGCCACAAGTTTGACACCCAGAACTTCCCACGGTGACAAGGCTTGTGTCTAACCTTCGCATGTTGGTTATTTCAGCCTGAGACACCAAATTATAATGACTAGACATGAGAGCAGGTGCCAGTGGCTCCTTGAAGCTGCCTAGAGCTTGCAAAGACAAGACCTGGCCTTGACTTTGAGGACTCCAGAACCTCCTCTCCAGGCATGCCAGGGGCTCATTCCTGGGGAGCTGAGGGTTCAGTTGACCACATGTTGTTTACCTCCTGGAGTTTTTAAGCCATAAAGGCCTCTGGGATCTGATGGCTTCTATGACAGTTTGGGACTCTGATGACAGGCAATGGGAAGATCAAGACAGGAATCGGAGGACGAGAAACAGCAGGTAGGGCTTCAGCCAGCTGGCGAGCCCATGACTATAATCCCAGAATTCAGGAAGCTGAGGCAGGAGGGTCCAGAGTGTGAGGCTGCCCGGGCTACAGAAAAAGAAGACCCCTATTTCAAAAGAACGAAAGGAAAAACAAGAGAGTCATTCTAGAAGAATGTTCCCTGGCTGAAACACCAACCCCACTGTCTGCAGCCGTGACACAGACTGAGTCTCAGGTACCACAGAGGCACAGGAAGGCTCCTAGCAGTCGGCTGAGCATGGGCCATTATGGGCCTTCCAGCCAATGTCAGTGTGAAGAAGATGGGGGTCAGGGGGGATGCTCCTGGTCAGGGAGGTCTGTGGTTGAGGGGGCCTGCTTGGAGCAGTTCAGCTCTCTATTGGCTTTTAAATTTGCAGAGAAAATCACAGAGCCTGGACACCCAAGAACATTTGTAAGGAACCCTTGGGGTCTGTGTGGGAGCGTGTGGAGTCCCTGGGGGGTACCCCCAGACCTCTCTCTCTCCTGGAATATGTGGCTATCTCCTTAGGGTGGCCTGGACTGGGACTTGGTGTGGCCTTCCTTGCTCCTATCCAGGCAGAGACAACACTGTCACCTGCAGGAAGCAGGGTCACTCCTGCAGTGCTCCGGAGGAGCCCCGGGAATCCGGGAATCCGGGAATCCTGGTTCTGTGAGTGTGCTAGTTCAGGAGGTGGAAATATACCCACGGGGGAGAACACAAGTCCCTCCTGGCCACTGCCCTCCAGTCCCCCCTTAAGGGCCATTCCTCCTCAGGACAGGGGTCCAGGATTGGGGCCTCCCACCTACGTGGCTCCCCCTGCTCTTGCCTGGGCCGCTCTGCCCCCTCCCCCAGTCCTGCCCAGGTCACAGCTGTCTGCAGCAGGTGGAAGAGTGGCTGGAGGTCCCGTGCGGAGCCAGGTGTGTGCATTGCAGCGCTACCACCCCCAGCTGCTCAGAGCCGCAGGCCTGGAGGCCGGGGAAGGCAGGAGGCCTGCAGCTTTGGGGACCTCAGCAGGAGGGATGGAACATGGTGACCTTTCTAGCCTGAGGGCTTAGAGCCACATCCTAATGCTGCTTCAGTGTGTGTGTGTGTGTGTGTGTGTGTGTGTGTGTGTGCGTGCGCGCGCGCCTGGGAAAGTTCCCTGGAGCAAGGCTCGATGGCATGTGACTGTTTCCTGTGACCGCATGTCCGAAATGCCCACAGGCCAGAGGAAGGGGAGTTTCCAGGGTCTACTGGAGTCCCCTGGAAAACACCCACTCTACCCCAGTCCACGACTTCCATTTGAAAGTGTACAGTGACCCCACCTATAATTCCAGAATATAGGAGGGGGAGGGGAGAGGATCAAGCATTCAACACATTCAAAGTCTTTTTTTTTCTTCTTTCTTTCTTTTTTTTTTGTTTTGTTTTGTTTTTCGAGACAGGGTTTCTCTGTGTAGCTTTGCACCTTTCCTGGAACTCGCTTTGGAGACCAGGCTGGCCTTGAACTCACAGAGATGCACCTGCCTCTGCCTCCCAAGTGCTGGGATTAAAGGCGTGTACCACCACCACCACCACCACCACCACCACCACCACCACCACCACCACCACCACCACCCGGCCTCAAAGTCATTTTCAGCTGTATAGAAAAGCCAAATGTCAGGGGAGGACACCATTTTAAAATGTACAGTGCTGGACCAGGGAGATGTCTGCCTCTAAGTCTAATGACCTGAGTTCAATCCCCAGAACCTACATGGTAGAAAGAGAACACACTTCTGGAAGTTGACCTCTGACCTTCACACTAACACTGTGGTACATGTGTGCACACAGATACATGCTAAATAATTAATTGATTTAAAAAAAAAAGCAGTGTTTACACTTGTAATTCCAACTGAGGCAGGGAGGTCTTAAGTTCCAAGCTAGCCTGGGCTACAGAGTAAAGCTACTGTCTCAAAAAGGAAAAAAAAAAAAGCCTCCAAACTGACACAGTCCAGTGGCATTTAGCACGTACACGGTGTTGTGCAACCATCCGGCGCCTGTCGTTCTTGAACCAGAACAGTCCTGTCACCCAGGACACAGCTCCCACAAGAGCAGCCGCCCTCCCTCGAGTGGCTGCTAATGCATCAGCTTCTGCCTCTGTGGGTCTGCCCATTCTGGACATTGCTTATTTGTGACAGACACCCTTTGGTCTGGCTTCTGTCCCTCAGTACTGTGTTTTTCAGACTTGTCATGTGGTCTGTGTTCAAACTTGCTTGCTTCTTTCCTTCCTTCCTTCCTTTAGTTTTTTGAGACAGGGTTTCTCTGTGTAGCTCTGGCTGTCCTGGAACTTGATCTGTAGACCAGGCTGGCCTTGAACTCACAGAGATCTGCCTACCTCTGGCTCCTGAGTGCTGGGATTAAAGGCGTGTGCCACCACACCTGGCCCTTTTTTTTTCTTTCTTAAGACAGGATCTATGTGCTTTGTCTTGCTCCAACCTCCTGAATGCTAGGATTAGAGACATAAACCACCACACCTGGGCTTCTTTTCTTTTTAGGGCCAAACGCTATTCCACTGAATGGATATACCACACTTTTAAAAGTCATCCCCCAGCTTTCAGAAGTTATCACCACCCTTTGACAATTGTGAGGGGTACTCATCTGTGTGGGACATTTGTATAGTTGTGTCTATTCTTTGTCCTTGTGTTCATCTACCATAGAACACATATCAGGACCCCATTATTTTTTCATGGCTTAATATTCCACCGTAATTTGGCTACTTGGTTATTGCTTCACAGGTGGGCTGGGCTAACAACCTATAGGCATGTGTCCGGAGGTGACCAGCCAAGCCATGAGACCTAAAGCACACAGGGGCTGTGCTCTCTTAGTTGCAGGCCTGACACTTGTACCATTAGGACGGAAGGATACAGGGGTGGGCCACCTTGATGTGGTCACCCCTCAGACTCCATTTTTCTGTTATTCCCTGTCTTTTCTTCCTCGTGCCAAACGGAAGGGATTTGGTGACTCACGGTAGCCCTGCTCCCTGAGCATGGCTTTCTAGGTTCCTACCCCCAGGCAGGTGGGGATGGGTGGTGCTGTCTGCTGGTCACTAGAAACCAGGGCACCAGCCACACACATACTGGTGTCCCCTCCTATAAGCAGGAACTGGGACTCGGGAGCTGTATTCAAAGGCTTGCTCTTGAGACTTGGAAACTTTTTTCATGAAGCACTTGGTAGCATCTGCTGGGACAGTCCAGCCCCAGCACCACAGAGGGAGGTAAATAAACAGCTTGTTTTTGAATGATCCCTGAGTGGTACCTGGTTTAGGGGCCATCTAAGAAAGGTGTGAGGGTCGGTCGGTAGATGGGAAACCACGGAGACAGGAGCTCTTCAAAGGCCAGCGAATGACGCTGAAGTAAGAAGGAAACAAGCTGATGGTGTGTGTGTGTGTGTGTGTGTATCGTTCCCAGGCCTCAATGCCAAGCGTGAACTCAGGCAGTCCAGGCCCAGGACCCAGTTCTGCCAGGAACAGAAACAGGGAAGGGCAGTTTGCTCACGGTAAATGGGGTTTTGTGTAATTGACATTGGTGAAGAGGACAGGAGCTCTCATCAATTGCTGGTCACCACTCTTGGACACACATTTGCACACGCACACACACGCGCTCGCACACACGCACACACACACGTGTGCATATGCGCGTGCGTGTGTGTGCATGCCTGTGCTGCATGCCCTTGAAGCCAGGGTCCTGCTGTCTGTCTGGGCTTTTCTCTTTCCACACGGGCCTGCCAGGTAGACAGGACTGGAGATTCTGACTGTTGGGCGCTTTCATAAAAGCCTGCTAAAATAAGACCACTCAGGGACAGGGCCTCCTGGCTCTCCATCACAAATGTTGACAGCGGGGGAACTGTGGCCAGGTTTCTCTGAAATGTGAAAAACTGGGGAGTAGGCATGCAAGGAAATGGAACGCTGGCATCCCACCTGGATGGCACTGTGATGCAGGACAAGGGCCCCCCAGGTGGTATCGCCCCCATGGCACATCAGTTAGCCTCACAGACTGTACCGTGTGGGTGTTTGGTGAGTGGGGATGAGGCTGCAAGCCACCAGAGGGGCCTGGGTGAGCAGCCCTGCCTCTTCCCCACCACAGGGGAAAGGCACCGAAATGGAGTTGGAGTGAGAGTCCCTGGGGACTCTGCATGCACTGGGGACAGCAGTGGTTCAGCCAGGACCCTCAGCCCCCCAGCCAATGTAAGTTCTCCTCACGACTTCATCAGCCAAAGGGGATTTGAACCCAGCAGGGCCAGGCCAGTGGCCACTGGCCTGCTATTGGTGACATAAATCTTGTACCAGCAACCCCCAGACCTTCTCCCAGGAGTCTCTGTCCCCTGGAGGGTCCAGATACTCCCCTTCCACCCCCTCCTCCCCTGCTTGGCCCTGGCCCAGCCATATAAAGTTTAAAGGTTTTAAATGCAAATATTTCTCTTTTATAGATGCCAGCTGTCTCCAGAGAGCGTGATTCCTCCCTACTCAACTTCATTGTCCAATTAGCTTCCCATATCTGAGTACTAGAGAGCTGGAGGGGTGTCGGGGGGCGGGGGGGGGATCTGAGCTGGTGGCTCAGAAGGCTGTTGTCTGGGGGTGGCTTGGGGGTAGCCTGAGATGGAGGGGTGCTTGCAGGGGGAGGGGCCTTGAGTCTGCACGGTAGGAAGCTGCTCCTGGCTGGGGGAGGTGGGGTGGGGGTGGGGGTGGGGTTAGAGGCTGGGTCACAGGGTGGAGGCCTGGCCGGGGTTTTGGTACAGATTTCGAGGCTGCGGGTGGAGATGCAGGAGCTGGGTCAGTTGGTGGCCAGGAGGACAGTCTTCTCCTGTTTAGAGACATAAAGGCAGGCAGCACACTGCGCACACTGGTTCCCTTCTTCTCCCCTCAAGTGCCCTCTTCCCGCCCGCCTTCCAGCAGAGCGCCACGGCGTCCCCATTCACCGGGGCTCCGAGGCGCTCACAAAGCGAGGCAATTAGAATTGAAAATCTATGCAAAACAGCTGTTAACTGATTGTAAAGGAGTGCAGCTGTGTGCGGGGCGCGGGTGGGAGCCGGCGCTGAAAGCGCAGGAAGTGGCGCCCAGGCCCGGGGTTAAGAGGAAAACTCCCCAATGGGCCGGGAGGATCCGCCGGGTCTTAACCCCTTCCTGCTGCCTGGGTGACCTTAGTCCCCAGCAGACGTGAGGCAGCGCCTTAGATGGAGGGAGAAGGTCGGGGTCCTCTCTAGCAGGACACTGGCTGCCTTCCAGGCCCTGCTGTCCTCCATCATGTCCTGGGTCAGCACGCCTGTGTTACAGGAGTGTAGAGCTTGCTTGCCAGCCCGGGGCAGTCACTGCTGTGAGACAGGGGTGGATTTCCCGGGCTAGGGATGGCGCTGGGCTGGGGGAATTCTTGCCCACCACCACCACCACCACCACCACCACCACCACCACCACCACCACCGGGTGTCACCCCATGCCCCCCAAAACAGCTTAGTAAGGATAAATGCTGTTTCCCAGGCCCTGCCAGGAGACCTTAGTACCTGGCTGGCCTATCATTCCCGGCCCAGCGCCACCCGAATGGGCAAGGCCGGCCTGAAAAGGTGACTTCCAGAGGCAGGGACGGGAAAGCCTTCTAGGAAGATAGATTTAAGCAGAGCTTTGAAGAATGGCCACTAATGTGGGGCAGGGAAGAGAAAATGGAGATGTTTTTGAGGGCTCGGCAGCTGCAGTGGCGAGCATGGCCCAGGTGGTGAGGGTGGGTGGGGGCTGGGCAGACCCCTCTCTCCACTCCTGAGCCCTTCAAGCCCCGTCTCAACCCAGATGGTTTTCAGGTTGCCGTTGATCCGGAGACGTCAAGGCCAGCAGTCCTTCGGGTCTGCCTTTCCTTCCACAGGGCTTCTCCACGCTGCAGAGGAAGAACTTGAATTCAGAGAACCCCCCCCCCACACACACCCCACAGTCTCTGGAGTAACTGGGGTGACAAACCCTGCTGAAGCTTTCTTAGTCGGGGGGGGGGGGGCTTTGGGAATGCTGCCAGGTGTCGCAACTGTCTCTGTCAGCCTTGTGTTCCAATTTCTGAGCCTGAGGCAGGTTAATTAACATTCTTGGGTCTCCTGATTCTTGGGTAGTAGAGGTCACCACCTGCCTCGCCAAGCCTGGAGGGCACTCCATGACAAGCGCTCAGTAGCTCCGCGCTGGGAAAGTGGCTATGTGATCGTTACTTCTGGTCTGTGCTGGAGTCTAGGGCTCCGGTACATGGAGGTGCCAGGTGACTAAGAGGAGGTGACAGCCGCCTCTGGTGAGAGCAGCTGGTCAGAGTGGCAAACACACCTGTTAAGTTTTCATCTTGCATCTTCTCCCTGCTTACCCCCAGACGGAAGCGGAATAGGAAAGACCCTCCAAAGGCAAGACTGCCACCCGGCACCCAGGGCTCACTTTAGACAGGGCTGGGCATCTGTGCCGGCTCAGATGGGAAGCCGACCTTGGTGGGGATGCCCTGAGCTGCCAGCCAGCCCTCACACCTTCCGGACCACGCTGCCTCACGTGCCCACCTGACCTGTGAGCCTCTGGTGTCTGCCCTCTGGCCCTCTGAGCTGCCGCTGTGCAATTTCCAGTTTTGTTTCTGGGGAGGCCCTTGTGAATCAGCCCCAGGGGCGGATTGTTTGCCCAGTGGATGCGTGTCCACACCTGTCCTGGTCCTGAGGCAGTGTGCTTTTCTTTCTGGCAGTCCCCCCAGGCCTAGAAACCCCTCCTGTCTCAAGTGTGAAGTTCATCTGTCCTGGGGGAAGGTTTCTGAGGTCCCAGGCTCCCAGAAAGGGTGGGATTTGCAGAGACCCACCTTAGCTGTGAGGAGCTAGGGGCTCCTGCTTCCTATTCTTAGAGGCCTAGCATGGCAGAACCCTTGGAAGGAGAGCTGAGCGATTCTGTCCTGGGGCAGGCAAGCATCATGAGCTAGGAGTTTCCTCCACCTCCCGGGACTGCCCCCTGGCACTTTCTGTCTCAAATCTTTTCTCAGCCAGCTTTCCCAAACAAATGGGACCTGAGGGAAAGAAACCCACAGAGGGTGGATGGTGGTGCACACCTCTAATTCCAGCACTCAGGAGACAGATGCAGGCAGATCTCTCTGAGTCTGTGAGTTCTAGGACAGCCAGAACTACACAGAGGGACCCTGTCTCGAAAAACAAACAGAAACCCACAGAGGGAAGTCTGTGCAGCTTAGGCTTGCTGGTGGGGTGGGGCGGCTGCTGAGGGAGGAGGAGAGCAGCCTGAGGAAGGTTAGCTTTAGCATTGGAGTCAGGAATTAGCAGTAGGCTCCAGACAGGGTACGGCTAGTTAGCAAGGGGCCACATGGCCGCAGAAGGGCAGTTTCCACCCTTCAACGCAGAGGCTCTGCTCCGGGATTACTGATTTCCTGGGGCAGGGAAGTGACAGTGAGTGCCATCCATCTCCTGGTGGCTGCCAGCATTTTCTGGCCTGGGTGCCCATAGCTGGCTCGCTGCTGTCCCCCTGTGGTCACCAGGGGTGTCTGTCACTCTTTTGCTGCCTTGGACAGTCTAGGTTGGACTGACTCCTGGTTGGAGAAGCTGGGGAGGATGCCTGGTTCACCTGCATGCTTGTAACCTTGAGCACTTCTGGGCAAGTTCAACTGAAGCCCGGGTTGCGGGCGACAGCTTTAGTGGAGCTCGAGTGTATGAGAGGGAGTGGCCAGCTCTTTAAAAAAAAAATAAATAACAAAAACAGGTGGTAGCTCATAGTGGTCACCCACAAATTTATAGCTTGGCCATTATAGTCTCCAGCAAACAGGTGAACGAACTTGGCCTCCAAGACACCCCTTCCCCAGGGAGAAAGGTGCTACAAGATTTGGAGGAAGAGCCCTGTTGTTGTTACCTGGGGAACCTGGCCTTCAGGCAGCGCAGCCAGGTGCGAGCTGCTCATTTACATGTCGCTCCCCTCCCCCCACAGCCAGTAATCCAGGTGGGAAAGGGGCTGGACCCGCCCGGGAGGTTTTTCATTTTGTTTTTACGGCTCGAGGCCAGTTGTTTCTTTCTTCTGACACCTCCCTGTCCTCCCCTCCCCCTCCTGCTCTCCTCCCCGGAATCCCCGACGCCCGGGGAGTCCGGCGCATCCGCCGGACCGTGAGCATCCTAAACTTGCAGGGGCTACACTGCCGGGGGCGGCGCAAACTAACGCGTGGACCAAAGGCCGCGGCGCGTGTGGGGGGCCAGGGACCGGGTGGCCGCAGGTAGGAGCAGTAATTCGGCCTGCCTTTGCCCGCCCGTTTCCCTAGTCGTTTGTGGTCGGCTAGGGGCTTGTGCAAGACTGGCCCGGCGTGCGCCCCCGCCCCGCGGCATCGGCGGCTTCTGCTGGCGCGGGCCCCGAGCGCTGCCCGCCGCCGGCGTCATCGGGAACAGATGGACGGGGGGTGCTGGCGCCCGCGCTCGCTCCCGGCGCTGTCCCGGCTGGCGCGGGAGGGAGGAAGGCGGGGGAGGCGGCGCGCGCCTGCCGAGCACTGCGCGGGCATGTCCTGGGGCAGGTTTGGGGCTGGCACCGCGGTGGAAAGTTGAAACCCGCAGCGGCGCTGGGGTGCCCCCCCCGGGGGGGGGTGCAGTGGCCTCCGGGCTTGAAAGTATAAAAGCGGAGGATCAGAGAGCTGTGCAGAGAGGGCGGGTGGGGGGAGGAGACCCCGGGACCTCACGGCGACCTTGCCACCTCGCCGGCTGCTCCCTACATGCTGGCCGGGCCGCGGCACCCCGGCTGCCAGGACAGCCCTGTGACTGCGAGCCTCCCGGGTGGCGGGAGGGGGTACTTTGGGGACCGGTCGCTTGCGTCCTTCGCGTTGGGGGCGGGAAGGCTGGGGCCCACAGTCCCTCTCCGCGCCGCCTATGGGTGCCGAGGAATTTCAGGACGCTCCCTGAGTCATCCCGGTGAAGTGCCTGGGTGAGGTAGGGTGGGTGGGGGCGCCAGGAATGGGAAGGCGGTGCGCTGGGGCCATTGGCGCGGTGGGTTGTGCCAGTTTCTGGAGGCGGCGGCCTCGCCTCTGACCGCAACCCCAGCTACTTAATGATGCCCCTGGCACAGCGGCGCCTCCGTGGACTTCAGCTTTTCAAACATGGGCCCCTTAAAGAACTCGACCCCTGCCGCATGGCTTTCCCCCAAAATCCCTTAAAACGAGATGGAGACTTTGTAAAACTTTGGGTCAGAGGCTCGCAGCCTGAGCTCTTAAGTCCTTTAGAGTTGGGGTAGTAGGTCACGCATCTTGGAGAACCAGGGAGGTCAACGGCCTATATTGTGTGGTCCCTTCCACCCAGCACAAGGAAAGAGCTCCTGAGCGCAGCGTTTATCCCTCCCCTCGCTTAGTGGGTGGCCAGGTGCCAGGCACTGTTCCAGGCGCTTGGGGAGGCGGCTGTGAGGCTCGGATATGGCAGGCATGCTGTAAGCCACTCCTCCCTACTCTTGGAGATGAGTGGCCTCGGAGGCCTCTGAGATCCCCCGTCAGTCCAGCCGGGGTCGCCAGGAGCGCGGGGGCGGCACCTACCCGGCGGGCTGTGACCGCGCTGGGTGCTCCGGGCGGTCCGTCGGTGCGCGCGCGTGCGCTTGCGGCTGAAACCCGACACCTCCCGCCGGCTGAGGTCAAGGCGCCGGGAGCGAGCCGGGGCCGGGGAGTGGGCGGCGTTGCGCTAGGGTGTGTCCTCGGCGGCGACAGCAGCAGGTGTTTCTTGGCCCAGGCCCCGGAAGCTCCACCTCCCCGAGCGGCCGAGCCGCCGCCGCGCAGCCCCGGGTGAGATAAGCAGTTCAGACAAACCCGGGCGACGGTGGCTCCGGCATGTGTCAGGCGCGGCAGAGCAGCGGGGCCCTGGCATGAAAGGTGAGCGCGCGGGTGGGGTGGTGGTGGCGGGGGTTCCCTTGGTTCCCCCCCCCAAGTTTGTGGGTTCGGGAGGGGCGCCAACGGCCGGGGCCAGGTCCCGCGGGTGTGAGGACTGGAAGCGCGGGGCGCGCGACCGACCCGAAGCCACAGTCTCGGTTGCGCGCGCGCGCTGGGTGCAGCGGGGTCTGCGGCCGCGGAAGTACGCGGGGGCGGCTCCGGGGCTCGCGGTTTGAAACAAAACTTTGGATGGGGCGGGGGCGCCCAGGCAGGTGCTGGGGACGGAGTTGCCTTGTCTGGGATGGCGGCCCAAGGGGACTTCGGCGCCCCCCCGCCCGGCCCTTCCCGCTCCGCCTGGATGCGCCTCCCCGCCCCCCCGCGGCCGCGCCGACGGCGAGTGGCCCGCCCGAGTGGAGCCGATTCAATTATATTGCAGCACCAGAGACACCTCGTCGCCCGCCGCCTCTCCGGCAGGCTAATTAAATTCCCTTCGTGGAGGCGGAGCGGGAGCTGGGCTGCCCTCCCCGCTGCCCGCCTCTCCGAGCGCGGGGAGGCGGCGGGGGCCGCTTAGGACCGCGCGGAGTAGGCTTAGGGCCGCAGGTCTGGGCATCGGAGCCGGGAGCGAGCAAGGGGCGCCCCCGCGCACCTGCAGCCCGGGGTGGGGGTGCCAGCCCGAGTTGGGTCGGTTTGGCGCTTGCAAAGCAGCTTTTGTCTTGGTGCGTTTTAAGCACACTAAACGTTTGCTAGCCCCTGCGGTGTCTTATCTGCCGCGGTTGGGGCCCACACAGGTTGGGGTTTGAAAACAAAAAGCGGGACCACCAAATGGAAGGGGGAAAAAAAAAATCACAAGATCCTTTTGTAAAGGGGGCCGGAACAAAAGGCGCAGCCTCGCTCTAGGGGGGGAGCATCAGGCCTAAGCCGATTTCCAGCACCGGGGGACAAAGAGGCAGGAGGTCCTGGCTGGGCGCTTGGCTGTGTCTCAATCTGCCTGAGACTGGTTTACCCTTTCTTCCCTAGGAAGACAGGGCCCCCCTGGCGAGCAGCCTTCCTCTGGGCGTCCGTGTTACTTAAGCTTGGCTACTTAAGTGTTGCTCAGCCTGTGTTTACAGCCGCCCCCACCCGCAGGCGGGGAACCTGAGGCGCTGGCTGCGTCTGACTCAGCCACTCAGTCGCCCCGCCACAGGTGAGGGGGGCCGGAGCACAGGCTCCGACTGGCAGCGTGTGTCATCTGCTGTGCTGGGTGTCACGCCCCACCGGGTGGACCGGAACAGGGTTGCTGGCAGCCTCACTCGATTGGGGCTCGGCTGTACAGAAGCAGCTTGCTCAACACTTCTCACAGCCACCGGGTCACGCCTGACCACCTCCTGGGGGGTGCCCTGATGGCTTGGTACAAGGTTGGCTTTTGTCGCCTCGTCTGGCAGTTGGAGCAGAGGAGGCTTGGAGGGGGGGGGGGGCGCTGGTGAGCAGCCAGCCAAGAGACCCGGGGTCAGCCACGCCTTCGGAAAGGAGGTGGGAGGCCTGGTCCTGGCTTTGGGCTCTGTTCTGTCTGCCTCCGGGCAGGCTCTGAACCAGGAAGGCAGAGAGGCCAGAGCAGGCCCTGACCTGTTGGGGGCAGCCATTAGGATCCTGGCCAGTTAGGGTTGAAAGGGAGGGGGTTGTAGTTCCCTTAAATTTAGCATTTTTAAACTGCTAGGAACTGGACCTTCTCAGGTCCCGTTTAGGCTAACCTTGGGGCTGGCCTGGGGCAATTCTGATGCCCCTAGGTGGTTTTTAATGGGGTTAGGATAGCAGGAAGGTTCCCAAAAAAGCCTGACCCTTTGGAAGCCTCCGTTGCTCTTGGCAAAGAGGTCCCCTCGGCAGGCAGGCGGCGGCCTCTGGCTGTGAGTAACTTCCCTGTCTCTGGAGGAAGTTGGAAGCTGCAGATCTCAGAGGGCTGTGTGGTTTGAGAACTGCAGCCACCTCGGGGCTCTGCATCTCTGGCCAGAGGAAGGAGAGAAGAGGTCTGCGCCACTCTGTGGTAGACCTGGGGCCTGCACCTCCCAGCCAAGCCCACTGAGTCCCTAGCTGCCCTTGACCCCCTCAGGCAGGTGTGGTCCATTTCCCTGCTGTGAAGGAGGTCTAGCCTTAGCCCCTTGCCGATCTCCTCCCCTTTCCTAGAGACGCAGGTGAGTAATAGCCAGCTGCCATTTTTTTCCCCCTTGCCCCCAGGAACCCGCAGGGGCTTGTGGAGTGAGCCAGCAAGGCCGGTTTTTCCTGGCCCCATCTGCAGCCTTGGAATGCCCAGCCTGGGTAACTCCAAAGCCTGGTGGGGTTGGATGGGAACCCTCTGGGGGTGAGCATGTTAATTACCAGTGTTGTGGCAACAGCCGCAAACCCTCCGTGAGACCCACCCCACCTCTTTTCCCTCTCTCCCTCCCTCTCCTGGGCTCTTGGGGCGAGAGAGCATGTCTAACCTGCAGAGATCCGTGTTTGAGGTGACATTTCAGCCTGGTGGCTGTGCGCGCGGCAGACCTGCCGACTCGCTTTAATTTGTACCCCCATGGAGTCTCAGATCTCTGTGGCCTTGCCAAGTGCAGCCCGCCGGTGCTGCTGGCTTCTCTTCCCCGCGCTGGCCTCTCTCCCCCTAGGCACACAGGCCACAGCCTGGGAGGTGACGTTTCTGAGTGTTCCTGTCAATGAGAATTTATCGAGCGCCTCCTCTGAACCCAGCCTTGCGCTCGCTGCTGGGAGGTGTACAGACAGATGAAACGGGAGCGCGTCCAACGGCAGCTCTTGGCGGCTGCCAATGTGCGCTCGGGGGGCCTTTTAATCTGGCGTCTACAGCTCTTCTCCCCACCAGCTAGCTCCTCCAGCTCTCACACCCCCTCCACCCCAGCCAGGTGAAGCTACTCAAGCAGCCCTGTCGGGCAAAGGCCCAGTCCTTGCACAGGTTGCCCCTGGGTCTGGCCAGCTCCAGGTTGACACTTCTCCCACCCACCCTGGTGCCTCGCTCCCAGTGCCCACCTTTTAGGAGACAGAGGACTGAGAGCTAGCCTCAGGGAGACTAGGAGTCAGGCCTCAAGGGGGGGATGGTTGTAAGTAACAGGGAGATCTTGAACACCAGAGTCTGTTCTGTCACTGGGGAACTGTGAAAAAGGGGGGGGGTCTGGCTGTAAGGGATTCTAGGGAGGGAGCCATCATTAACTGGAGCATGGAGTATGTGGAAGGGGGGGCCTCTGGCTCCGGAGTTTCATTATTGACTACAGTTTAGGGAAAAAAAAAAAAACCCTCATACCCAGGCCGTGCCTCCATTCAGATAAGTCCCTATCTCTGGGGTGGGACCTGGACATGGCTATTTACTGTTTTAAAGATTTCCTTTTTAAGCCGGGCGGCGGTGGTGCACGCCTTTAATCCCAGCACTCAGGGAGGCAGAGGCAGGCGGATCTCTGTGAGTTCGAGGCCAGCCTGGTCTCCAAAGCGAGTTCCAGGAAAGGCACAAAGCTGCACAGAGAAACCCTGTTTCGAAGAACCAAAGGGAAAAAAAAAAGGTTTTCTTTTTATGTGTATGTATGAATGCCTGCATGTCTGTCTGTGCACCACGTGTGTGCAGTACCCTCAGAGGTCAGAAGAGGGCGTCAGAGCCCCTGAAACTGGAGTTACAGTTGGTTGGGAACCACCCCTGGGTTCTGGGAATCAAACCACTATCCTCTCTGAGAGCTGCCAGTGCCCTTATCTGCAGAGCTCTCTCTCCAGCCCCCGTTTATTGTATTTAGATAGTCTTACTGCGTAGTTCTGGTTGGCCTGAAAAACTCTGTAGACCAGGCTGACCTCAAACTCAGGATCTATCTGCCTTTGCCGGGATTAGAGGCATGTACCAACCACATCTGGACTAATTTATTTATACAAGCCTCTCACTGTGTAGCCCTGGCTGGCCTCAAACTGTGTATCTGAAGATGACCTTGAACTTCTGATTCTCCTGCCTCCATTCCCATGTAGTGGAATTGAAGTGTGCCACCACCCTTGATGAAGTGCTGGGGATAGAACCCAGTGCCTTGTTCTCTGCCCGCTGGGCTTGAACTCCTGATCCCCACCCCACCCCCCACCATGCTTGGCTTTGGGCTTCTGCGTTGTCTTCCTCCACTCCCACCCTTGGTCCTCCTGCTGGGAGTCCTCACCCTAGAGATGATGATCTGGGTTGTATCTGGCCTGAGTACGTCCTGAGCCCTCCCCTGTGGGTCTGTGGTGGGTTCCTGAAGTTGTAATAAGTGGGGACTTGGGAGGTGCTAGGTCAGAGAGAGCGCTGCAGGTGTCCCTGGCCTATGAGATGGACGTATGGAGGTCCTGTTTGGGGGAGGCTCGGATGCAGTGATGCATGTGTCCCAGAGTGGGCAGAGGCCAGCAGCAAGAGAAGGACTGACGCAGCCTTGGGCGAGGAGGGGTGGGGTCGTCAGCTGGCCGCTCGGAATTCTCTCAGCCTGTGTGTAGCCTTGGTTGCGGACCTCGGCACCCCACATGAGTGGTCTCCTGTGTCCTTGGGCAGGTGACTTGACTGTCAAGTGCATGTTACTGGGTGCTTATGGGACACCTGGCACCCATAGTTCCCGTAAAGGGTGATGGTGTCCCTGGAGTTTCAACACAGACCCAGGTACTCTGTCCTCTTGGTGGACAGCAGGAGACCCTTTTTCTGGGTCTAAATAAGCCCTTGTGCCATTCTGCTGTGTGGAGGTTACCACTGTTCTGGGGTGTCACCTGCCCCTGGGATCTCCAAAACCAGCTGGAATGCCTGTGTGCACATACCCTCCCTCAACCTGCTGCTCCCTTGGGCA